TCTTTCATGCAGACCTTCCTCCACAGTAATTACAGGGTTTTATCCCCTGAAGCTGGACAGACGAAGACTCAGAAGCACAGTATGCAGTGTTCCATGGTGATTCAGCAATGCTGGGATACCCAGGACAGAGTAAACATGGGGAAACAGTGAATTAGAATGACTTTTCGGTACTGACTGCGGACACATACACTGCTGGACTACAGCTTTCCCGCAGCTTGACTAGTGCAAAGCAGGCAACAACTGTGTTTCCACACAGCAATGCTAAAGAAGCACTCATACACAATTTGCAAAAGCAACACTGAAGTTTAAAAAGGGCCAAAAATAAAAAATGAAATTATTTGGATAGTGCTGAAATAGTCCCCTCCCCAGCTAGCAAGTAGAAAAAGGTAATTTTACGTAACAATTCTGGGCTTTGGAACACTGCTAGTCAAAAGCAACCAAATCAAACAAGCTCTTCAGTAAGCAGCCCTTTTTGCCATTACACTGGTAACTGTCACCTATTCAGCTTTATTTTGTTTTACACGGCTGAGCTGAACCAAATGACAACATCGTCCCTTCCATTGGCTGGGCTTGTGTCAGTTGCCAGCTTAAATGTATGAGGAAGAAAGAATTCAGCATCCTGCAATTGAAATTCAGGATTGCTCGGATGCATGTGCGTGTGGTGAAGCAATACAAATAAAGACCACTTTTTGTTTTGCTCCAGTGAATTGTCAAAGTGATTTTGAAAGCCAGGGGATTTCATTATGGTAATACAGGTTAAATACTTTAAAAGCATATGGTGTTACCATCCTGAATGAAGCTGTCCCTGTGGCTCTGGGAGGCACACAATAGGTCAGGAGCACATCTCATGTCTCTGGTCAGCCAATGAGAACCAGGGATTATAAATCACCACGAGAAAACACTGCCTGCTATCTGGTACCAGGTAATGCCTTGTCTTTCCAATTACAATTTGACTCATCCTGCTCTAGAAAGGAACACTCTCTAGCCATGTATTCGACCAACGAAAAGAAAAAGCAGCTCTAGAGGTTCTTATGGTCCACTCTCATGTATTGATAAAACAATACATGTACAGATAGCTGAACGTTATATACAGTATATCTCAGTAGTATATGTAGAGATGGGGAATGTTTCCACAGAGACGCTTTCTGATCACTGGGGAAAAAAAAGAAAAAAAAGAAAAAAAAAAAGGCGGAAAACCTTCAGGCACAAAATAAAAATATAAAAATATAAAAATCTTTGGTGTTACCAAAAAGCTTTGAAGAAACTTGGATATGGTCAAAAGATTTCTTCCCTCTCTCTCTGAAATGCCCCGTCTAATTCACTGCTGACAGACTCTTTTGTGTAAAATAGAGCTCATTATTACGTATTTACTAATTTTCTCCAACAGGAACCAGTCTGAAAATTGACCGCAGTAACTTCAAATGCCAGCTCTTTCCCCATGGTCACGGAATTCATGTGTTGTCTCTCTTCTGGAGTCCATGACAATGACAATTTAGTCCACAAAAACCCTATTACCTGTACATGTCTGACACGCATTACTTTTCAGAAACAGGTCTCAGGTCATCGCTATTTTAGGCATTTTTTTTTCTGCAGGCGGGCAACTGAAGCACTGCAATATTTTAAACAACAGAAATTCTCTGGGATGCACCAGTTTCTTCATCTTCTTTGAAGCTATTTCTGAGGACAGCAGATGAGCTCTAACACATGATGACAGAGCCATTTACAAAGTTGCTGCCTTTAGCTCCTCTCCCTCACCGATCTGCCAGAAATTGCTGCTTCCAAAGTTGGCAGATGCTGATGTTTGCTCACGCCTCAGCTTCTCCTGGGCAAAGCCCACCATCTTTGCTCTCTGAAACCTAAGGAAAGGTGGATTTAATTCAGTGGGTGTACTGTTAGGGCAGCAGCTTCTCGCAAGCATATGGAGAGCTCAGCAGGAGATGATAACTTCTTAAATTATCACAGCAAGATTTGGCACGGTTTGTTTGTTGGAGCTCTCTATTCTATCCCCTATTCTACCCTGACAAAGAAAATGAGGAACACTTGTATGAAAAGAAGAGACATAACAAACACAAAACTAGAATTTACTTCTGCACCAATGTGGTTTTGGCATTGATTGAAAATGGTCCCTTGTTTTTTTTGTTTTTCTTCATTGTTGTTTGTATAATTTTTTTTTTTTTTTTTTTTTTTTGCATGTGTTCTAATAAATAAATACACAAAATCCAGAACCACTCTCCCCACCTACACTTCAGAAGATTCAGTGATAACTGCCTACAAATATTTCTCTTCTACAGCTTCCTGATGAATACTGGAATGCTTCAACACATTTTCAGTGGAAATACATAGCTGCTATTTTGGATGGGAACTAAAAAAATAAAATAAATTGTTCATACTCCAAAATTCAGATCTCCGCAAACAGGCAGGAACAGAGATCTTGTCCCTTTGAGAAGGCCACTGCACACACTCTGCTGTGTTTCCATGCTCACCAGCAGTCTCACAGTTGGATACTGAGGCACACAGATATGTTTCTGAAAAAAGGCTCCTTTTTACAACACATGGTAAGGAATAGTTGCCTCAAGAGTGCAATCAGTTGGATCTATTTATATGTCAGCTCCGGCAGGAGAAGAACCAAGCTCTCGAAGTACTTCTTTCTCTGTATCTGAAAGGATACTCTAGTGGTTAGCTTAGATGCCAACATGAGATTAAATAAATTCCAACTCTTCCATTAATTCCTTACCAGCTATCTATATGCAAAGTCCACTCAAGAAGATGAATAAAAACATGCATGTACTCGTCTTGTCCAAGAGATGGGCTACAAGTATTTGGTTTCCTCTGTTTTTTTATAATTTGATCTATTTCCTTGCATAATTGGCATTTTTTAATTTTCCTTTAACTCTACTGGGTATTAAGTTATCCAGCACTCTTGCTGAGACAGTTCATTCTGTTTGCCTCCATCCTCACCTCACTTACTTCATGGCCCTGGGGTGCTACTGTCATCTTTTCACTTTTCATGCATCTTCTTGTTTCAGTGAGCCTTATGAATGCTGACTTTAACTGAATATCTCACACTAAATATCCTACCAGCTACTACACATTTACTACAACTCTGCTCCTCTGCTAGAATAACTGGCTCAACTCCTACCTCATTCATTTCTCTGCTCTCTTTACTGATTGAACATTCCACTTGTCAGTCACTACTCTTCTACTTAAAGTCACAGCCACCTGCTATTCAGATTAAGGCTCCACCAGGCCTCCCTTTCACATTATCAAGACTTCAGTCTGATTTATCCTAACTTGTTACTCTCTCCACACAGACTGATCTTTCCTCTTGCTTGCTAGTCTTGTTCCTTTAGAGGTTTCTGCTCATCCTAACAGCTCCCCACCAACGTCCAGGTTCCAGGTCCATATTTCTTCTGCCTCCCCTGATATTCTAGTTTCATCTGAATGAGTTCAAGCCCATGTAAGACTTTAACTTTGTACTGTACACTCTTTCAGTATTATCTGATTTTCTCCATCTTATGGCTCAAGCTAAACAGTACAGTCAAGAACTGACTTTTTATTTCACTGTACACATCTACCACAACGCAGTCCCAAGCAGTGATGGAAAACTGTAATCAGTAATTACAAACCACTACTTCACATTTGTTAAGTGCCCCCAGCTTTAATACAAAGAAAGGTACTATTTTGTATTAAAGCTGTGGTTAAATAGCCACAACAGTACAGCAATGTATATCAAAGGTACACATGGCTCTCTCTGCTTACAGATAACATTTTTAATCATGCATTTTGTATAAATGAAAACTCATTTGTTTGGAGGCAACAGAAAGAAGATTTTGTGCATTAGGAATAAGATTCTGTACATTAGCTTCCACACAAAGAATCTTTAGCACATGTGGGCACATTTGAAGTTTACTTTAGATGGATGATATGTCATGCTAGAGCAGACAAGGTTGAAGAAATGTCTGCAGGGACACACCCCTAGGAAAAAGTAGGGATTAGCTTGTCAATAAAGATGTAAACAGACTGCTCTGAGGCAGCCTCATTTCTGACATTAGAAAATCTTAAATGGTTTGCTGGCAAAGAGAACGTGCAAAATTGGGGCACGCTGTCAAGACCGAAATCACTTCTCAGTGTTCAGCCATTGCTGTCTGCCAGGCAAACAGCCTTCATAACATTACAGAATAAAAAAACAAATAATTGCATGTGAATACCAACAGTAAAACAATGAAGGTAATTCATTAGGAAAAGTAATACCTGATACTGTAACAAGCAGAAATAGCAGAAGCTATTTGCAGATAACGAATATATGCCACATAAATATCAGTCTATACCTTTGAATAGGTACAAGAGCAGCAGAAGAGTTACACAGCAATCGCTCTCTTACTTCAAGTCAGTAAGCAGCCTCTCTACACACCTACCCTTCTCTGTTCTGTTCTACTATTGGAATATCTGGAGCCAAATTACATACTGTTCCATCACCGAACAACTGTGATTAAAAAGATCGAGTATCAAATCCCCAATGGGTATCAAAGCTGTCCAAGAACAAAAACAGTTCTAGCAGATTCCAGAGATACGAATCAAATTTATTAACATCAACACTTCTGTCTCCATCAAGAACACCCTTCTGCTATCAAGTTTACCAGACCTACTAAAGGAACCATTCCTTTGTCCTTGCCCCAGATTTTAACAAGAGACTTGGTAAGAGCTATTTTATCTCTCCCCATCTTACCAGGGGGAATACCTCAATCCAAATTAAAGGCAATTCAATGTTTAATCTGCTGGCACTGAGTTCTGCGATGTTTTCAACCTGTCAGTCACACTGATCCTACCCACAAGGCCAAGAATTTACACTCATCATATTGACAGATGTATACTGCAGAAACAGATTATCTGCTTGAACACGTGCAATTTAAGAAACATACAGTTCAGTTTCATTGGTCTACCAAAATCTAAAATAAATTGTATTTTCAAAGACATACTTTCCAAGAACCATCTTACCTGCATTATCTATTATGAACTCATGTATTCTTCAATGTTTGCTGTTTGATACACCTTTGCCATAACTATTGTTTTTCCCAAAGACTCTCATGCTTTCTCCGGTCTCTGCTTGCAATCTTACATTCGGTACAGTAAAAATAGAAGACACTGCAAAACAGAATGTCAGTTCAGTTTGATTTTTCTCTGAAAAGCAGTAATATAAAATAATTGGTTAATATCTATGCCAAACACAACACTGAATGAATAAATATGGCTTTTATGTATACCACCCAATTATGTAAGTAAGCACTGTAAAAACTGTGAATGGAGAGGAATGGCAAGCGCTATGATGGAAGCTGTCTGATGCCAACATTTTCTGTTACATATGCCTTTAAAAAAAGAATACAACCATTTCCAGAGCGTGTATATGCTTGCTTACTTCTCTTTGCAATGCTTATAATTCATGTTTTCCACTTTAAATTTTCCTGACAATGCTTAAGGTTAATTATGAAGATGAAAAAAACCAGCAAATTTTTGTAATAATTTGACATCATATATACCACCCTCAAAATCTCTGCAAGCCAGTAGAAGTGAGCTATTTCATTAGACTTCATTTTACTAACTGTTAAAGATAATTAGATTTATTAAAAATATGCCAGAAATTCAGAAAGCCTTCACATAAGGCAAATCCTTTCTGCATGAGTTTGAAAAACCTTGAGGATTTCCATGTAACACCAGGCAACTAATTAGCAGCAGAGATGACATTAATCACAGGGTCAGACTGCAAATGGTTAAGGACTCACACAGTGATGATGTGAAAACTCACTTTTACTTGGGATACCTCAAACTGCTGGGGAAAAATGACTGATTTTTGGTACCCTCTGAGAACAAATGTGCATACGAAAATATTGTTGGATAGCTGCCAGTGCACTGCTGTATGAGGAAATGTTAATGGACTGTTTGTTAAAAGAAGTAATCAGGGCCATAACAGTTACCCTTTTGTTTGTTTGTTTGCACTAAAGACTAGCACAGCTGTATTTCATGCATTTAAAAGATGAGGATATTTTTTAAGCAGGAGATCTTCCTGCTGTACCTTTGACATCTCAACTTGTATTTGATATGCTGCTTTCCTCAGTAGCATGCATTACAAATGACAAATTCTATGCAAATAAATCAATATGAGCTTTCAGATATGAAAGCAGGAAAGGGGGAGGACTAAAATTACTTTTTTTCAATAGAAAAGAGTAAGTAAACATATACAATATGTACATAACAGGGGTTAATTTATAGATTACTGCTCATGTCTGAGATGAATGAGAACTGTGTTGCTTCATAAACTGTATGCAATCTCAGACAAGAATTTTTTAGCTGAATTGCAAAAGTCTTACATTTTAATGTAACATTTTTAAAACTGAATGTGATTAGATGACAGACAGCTCCTGTCTGAAAACCTAACTCCCAACTGAAATTGTGCCATGACTTGAAACCCCAAATCAAACCCTTTTGGGAATGAAATTTGAAATAAATTTTGCAAGCACGTTTAAAATAAAGCACAAGATTAAAATGTTATCCTGTAAAATATTATGCAGAAGATAAATAACTAGTATTGAACCTCAAAAAGACAGAGGAACTTTTTCTTTTTACATTTTTTTTTAGTCCAAGGCACTGTATTTTTGTGAAATACTGTGATTCTGAAGAAACAATATTTTCAGATGGAAAATCATACAACTGACTTCTTTTGTCTCTTCTGCTTCACCTGTGCATTTTTCATTGGTTTTGGTCCTAAATCCCCAACTTTGCAATTCGGTATTGGAAGTAGGCAACATTCTGTGATGGATACTATCATGCACATCCTTCTGCAGATTCTCAGGGCGCTCATGCCTACATTTAATTAGCTATGAATAGCAAGTCTTTCTCAGTGTAAAACATTAACCCAGAGAACCAGAATCACAAAAAGTGGCAATTTCTCTATACAGAAAACATTTTCCAAACTCTCCAAAGTATATCACTTCTTTGTTTTGTAAATATGTTTACAAGTATATCCAAGTCATATTAAATAGAAATGATTGTAGTATTTGATACTGGGATTGTCCTTTCTTGCATCTGGATTTATGCTTCATAATGATTATCTACTAGGCACAGAAATAGTCTTTCTGTAACTCAAAATTTTACTGGAGGCATTTAGAAGAACCTTACTTTAAAATATAATGATTTTTCATCTTTATTCTCCCCCCTTCAAAAGGTTTCACTGCTCCTGATGTTTAACGTTATGCAAAGACGTGTTTCTGCCAATGAATATCGCCTTATGGTTATGCTTCTGCAAATAACCTGCTGTGAGCTGATAAAAGGATTAATGCAGCCAAAATTCTTAATCTGTGAAATTACAAATTAAATTCTCATATTAAAAATACCACCCTGAGGTATTTTTTGTGGTTTTAATTCCCCTCTGGTGTTCTGCATACATTGTGCTTGTTAATGACTAGGACAAGACTGTCTCTGTTGGCAGCCTGCTGCAGAGTGATAATGTGTAGGCATTTACTTCACTGATAGAACTGGATTTAACCACTGACTGATAAACTAAGTGGCAAGTGGGTAATAAGTCCATATTAACAAAAAAGTACTACTGCAGAATTCAGAATTCAAAATCCTGGCTAGACTAAATCACGCAGTCAGAAGGATTGAGATGTCACCAGTGAGGAGTGATTTTTGTTTTCCATTTAGAGGAAAAAGGATAAATGAACTGGCATTCTTGATGTTTCATTAGTTCTGAAGAAATGAATCTCTTTGCCTCAATTTCAGCAAAGGCAGACTTTCAATGGTACCCTTAATTTACTCTGCATCTCTTGAATTTTCAGTTTACGAACGGCCACAGTCAGAAAACTATGTGGAGTGGCAGGGGGCTTTCATGGCAGAGGGGGGAGCTGAGAATCTTTTTGCAGAGCAAAGAGAAGATCTGTGACATAACCTATGCGTACAAAAATTAGTGTTGTTCCGGTTCTACAAATGAGAGAGAGCTCTTCAGGGCAGAGTCAGGAGTAGGGCACTTAGAGTGCCAGTCACAGAACTAGCTCAACACATGTTGAGATATACACATATTACACATACTGAGAGTGGAGAAATAAAACTTTTGGAAGAGTTTTCTTATTAATACTGAAATAACAAAAATTTATTGAGGGTTAATATTCAGAAAGTAAACTCAATTTTCACAAGCTTCTATGTTAGCTATAGTTAAGCACATGCACCACTGTTACATATCCAAGATTTTACCTTGAAGTTCTGGATTTAGATCTTTTGGTACTGGATGCATGTTTGAAAATAGCAACACATTGGAACAGGTTTCCCAGGGAGACTGTGGATGCCCCATCCCTGGAAGCATTCAAGGCCAGGCTGGATGTGGCTCTGGGCAGCCTGGTCTGGTGGTTGGCGACCCTGCACATAGCAGGGGGGTTGAAACTAGATGATCATTGTGGTCCTTTTCAACCCAGGCCATTCTATGATTCTAATGAAAGCATGCTCCTCTAAGTTAAATTAAAATAATTATTCACATTCTCCTGTGAAATCTATTTATAATGCTAGAATCTTCTCAAGCAAAAAACATCATGCACAATGATATTTTTCCATAGAATAAATAGTAGGGCACTTTTAACTCTCTGGACAAGAATTAAAGAGATAACTTTAAAATTAGCATACATGCTGATTTTTTCCAAGTAAATTAGAATGCATGTTGTTTTATGAAAGACATAAAAAGATGCATGTAATAACTGAAAGCATTCTCAATTGGAAATATCATCCCCCATCTTCTACTTACACTGTTTAATTCAGCAAATTAACCAATTGTCTACTTTGTGTTTTTCAGACTTCTCAATGCCAATTCCCTTCTTAAAGGTTACCGTTATAACAGAGAGAGATTCTGGATTTATATCCTGCGTGCTGCAGCTAGTTAAGAAGTACTGTATGTCAGAAAATGAAAAGCACTAAATATGTAAATTGTATTTTTCCTTTTGCTTTATGACAATTCAGATAATTCTCTTGGCTGTGCACATAATCAAATACAAAGATAGCTAGCCGCAGACTGCAGAGCAGAGATAGCCAAAAAAAAAAAAAAATAATAATTCCATTTTTCCTGTGTCAAGTTAACTACAAGCTAACTATGTAGTTTCATGTATTCTGTGTGTGGATGTGCACATTCATGAATGTGTTCCACATGAGTGTTAGCATACATACAAGTATACACACATGCACCTGCAGGAACTAATGTCTTTGCTTTTAATTGATTCAGAGGAGGTTATACTCACTGTCAGTTAATTCCCATAGCCGAGGGGGCAGATCACTGAAATACTCATGGCTCAGTGCTGCCTGTGCTGACAATCTGTTCTTTGGGAAACACTGGAGTAGTTTGGAGGCTAGATCTTCCGCATGATTCACATAGCTCAGCCTGAAACACAAACAAGGAGGTTTTTCTGAAAAACAATCTCATTATGCTGTTTACTAATACCATCTGCAGTTGGCCCAGCTGAAACAAGCGTCTTACTAGCCAGTATAAAACAAAGTCTGTTTGGAAGCACTGCAGGGATACACATTCCTTTAGTTTGGGAATCAGTGAATTATTTCTGGATGGATAGTGGAAAATTTATACACATTTTTCATATACAGAGCATATAATGTGCCATATCACACATGCCCTACCTAGGACACTGAAGGATCGTGAGCAGAAGCATCTTGAAAGCAACTGTTCTGATTTTTTCGTTTGCATTTTATTTGAACATAATGACAGGCTGAGGCTTTACGGCACTCGAGACAAATGGTTATTTCTATCTAAAAACCTGAAATCCAAGCTTAAAATCATAATTATTTATAAAACTTTGCAAATATCAGAGTTTAAAATCCAATGATAACTAACACGAACATATGCATCATGATTCATAAAGGCATTTTGGGAAGTATTGACTTATTTTTCATCTATTCTTATAGCAGGAGGCTGACTTCATTAGGTGTTAATGCAAGGCAAACATTACATCGTAAGTGAATTATCTTTTGTAAACTATGTAGGGAATTTGAGGAAAACTCATTATTTTACCAGGAGTTATATCCTTGTGGTATAATATGAAAATATAAGTTAAAAATAATAGATTCTGAGTGGAGAGAGTACAATGGAGATGATCAGGATGTAGCTTTGGTCTAGAATAGACCACCCTCCATTTCCAAAGCCAACTAATTTTTTATAATACACAGTTCAAAAAGAGGTGGTGAATCAGTATACATCATGCTACTACTGCTATTAGTAGGTAACTCTATAAATACTAGAAATTGCTCATTACAGGTCTCTTGTCTGGTAAAAATGTCAAGATATATTATAGACTTCCTATTTATTATGAAGTCTGTACTTATTCTTAATAAATTGGTATAGACCGATTTATTAAGAATAGGTATTAGTTTACTAATACAGAAATGGCAGACTGCAGTCCAAAATACTGCAGTAATTGAAAAAGATAGTATTGGTGTGCTCTAAAATCAATAAACCAACAGCATGCTTTGTACAAATTCCTCTTGTTCAGTTCAAGATGGCTTTGAGGGACACCATTCAGAGAACATGGATAAAACACAGGTGTTTTTTTTCTATTGTCCCTATCTATCCGGTCTTGAAGAACAGACAGAATATCTGTCCAAAATTTGTCTGGGGACCAATTGCTCAGAAACACTGACATTTTTAAGCCATTACTTCACATGAGTCATAAACCTACAGCAGTCTCAGGATGTGGATTTGGAATTAGTATTCTAGGTGTTCACGATAAGCATAATTTTTGTGGTTTTGGCTTGTTTGCTCGTTTTTTAAATTCATGACAAAATAAAGGCATCTCAAATTAGACAGCCATTGCCTGTAAATCAGGTTTTACAAAAGGATTAATTCCAGACTCCTTAAACTATTAGTACATAGAAATTCTTTTACTCAACTTTTTTGAAAAACACAGCAAAGTTAGTTAAAGAGAACAGAAAAATACCAGGAGAAAAGACTATTCTTCACACAGAAAGTGGAAAGGATGACCAAATACCCATTGAGAATTGCCATTAGTTCTTCTAGATACCTAAATTCTCATGGACCGGTGATTATATTGAGCCAGTGAGGCTTGTTTTATGTCTTAATCCCACCTAACCAAGTATTTGTTGAGAAGCCCTGGTAAATTATTTCATCTAAGTATTTTTTCCCATATACAGGTAGCTACATCCTTTTTGGTAGCCGAAGTAAACTTGCTGTCTTGAATGAAAGATAGTGTTAAGTTAGAAAAAAGTGGCCACTTCTTAAAGTAGTGAAATATTGACATCCAATATGAGAAAAAGAACTTTATCATTCTTAGGTGTATATTGAAGGTATATTGAAGATGTTAATTGAGACTGGCAAAGCGTAAGGAAAAAAAAGTGAAGCATAATTCAAAAATTAATGAATTCTGAACTGCAGGTGAAATTTTGGATGATGACACTCTAGTTCCTTCGTGTTCTGGAATAAAGGGGTGTCACTGCTTTGTTTCCATCACCAAAGTACCTGGTATGCTGCTAAGATTTGTTAAAGAAGAAAATCAGATTTACTAATAAATTGAAAGTAATTTGAGTAGGAATGAGTTTTGAAAGCCAAATTGATCTTCTCGGTTTGGAAACCACAAAGATATCAGTTAACCAAGAAGCCAAAGTAAAAAAATGAGCAGATTCTACACAAATACAATTAAAAAAAAAAAAAAAAAAGTACGTAGGGCTGCAAAAAAAAAATCCTATCAACTAATGAGACCATTGTGAATAAATAAGTCAAAATTAGAACCTGATTTATAATAAATAGAAAAAAACTATCACACAGTCTGCAAAAATATTGCAATCATCTGCTCTTATCATTACATTTTCTCACCCAGATAATACTCCAAGTAGGGCTCTGGGGGTTAGTTGATTACATAGTGCTTTGAAGATTCCCATTGCTCCATATTAGAATCAAGTTCCCAAGTATTTATAGATTTACAAGTCAAAAGGGACCGTAATGATTGTGTCTCACCTCCTATGTACTACAGTCCAAAGATCATCCAAGTAACTCAAGGAACAAATTATTTTAGCTAGACAAAAGTCTACATAAAAGTGGCAGTTTCGTTTCTGGAGATTTGCACAGAAATGAAAAAGTTCTTCTCCAAAGAGCATGTCTTCTGCTGAGAACATTTCTGGCAGTCACTGGACATTGCAGCAGGCGTATGCATGTGGAATCCTAAGGTTGTCGGTCTTAAAACTGATGCCATAGAGGAATGCATGACAAATTTTTTGGTTTGCATAAGGTCAAGCTATTCTTTTACTTATGAAAAATGTATTCTATGATCATGTTCATCTACTGTATTAGAATTGTTTGGAGAAACCCATCTAGTGTGTAACCTCAGCAGTTTGAAACATCAGAATGTTTGGTTTTGTTTCCTTTTTCTTTCTTTCTTTTTTTTTTTTTTTTTTTCCTTCCCAATAGTCTCTTTAAAATCTCCTTCTTAAATCATTAATGATTTTTCGGATATAAGTTTGAAACAACTCAGTAGGAACAAAAGCTGAATGTTCTGATGGGGTTCAGTAGTTAAGTATTTAATACAGAAAAGTTAACAAAAAGGAGTAAAGAAGAAAAGATTTAATTTTTAAATACACCTCCTTCAGTATGTGACAGAATGGAATTTCATACAATATGGCTTTGTGTCTAAAACATAATAGCATGTTTTGTCTCACAGCAGTTGGGCCATATAGTAACTTGGCATGCATGATATGGCAAGTCTCAATATTCACGCTTCACTTACTGTCACACTAATCACCAAGGAATAGTTACTAGCCATGACAGCGTACATACTTTCAGAAAATGTGGCACACAGCAGAATACAGATAAATCTTTGACAAAGAGTATTAGATATTACGTATGTATTATTCTGAGAAATATTAGGAATATTTTTACAGACCTACTTTGGTGACACTTACAAAAGCGCACTGATTTTCAACTTAATCTCTCTGCCTTAGCTCAACAAAAGCAAACACTATATGAACCTTTCTCACTTCAAGCATATTTGAATCTGACTATACTTGAGCAGTTGTAAATCTCACTGGATTACATGAATTTGATTTAATTTTATAAAACAGGCTTGAATGTCTTTCTACTGCAAGGAAGGTCAGTATTTGGTCAAGCAGAACATGACTAAGATCACTGAAGTCTGTTTCAAGCGCTTGAGAAAAAAAAAGTTTGGAGCATGTGCAATGAACTTCTGAACTTGGAGTGATTTGCTTTTAAATGCAATGAAGAATGCAGCTCAAATTCACATTAATAATTAAGACAAATGGGCATTAAAACAAACGGAGATAATGTGCTATCTATGTACTCCTAACAGCATGAGGTAAATACTTCCCAAAGCAAAAATCGTTTACTGTGCGTATTTTTCATCTCAAGATACAACTCTCACTAGCCTCTCTCAGCCTATCACTAATTCATTTCTCAACTGGAGTTTACAGCATGGCCCCGAGGAGGGAGGCACCTAACTCCCTATGGGAACCCCAGCTCTGCTACTTTATTCTAAGTAGTCTCTTGTCACCTGAAGAGCTGAAAGACAAAACAACAGCTAACTAGAACAATTGCATCATTTAGCGTAGTTTAAAGCTTACAGATATTTTACCTACAATCACAGCCATGAGGGCCATATTTCAGTTTTAGGATTTTCACCCAAGCCAGCTTGGAGCTGGCAATCTTTCCACATTCTCTCTGGTTGTAGGCCTCTTCTGATGCAAAGCTGTGCCAATTTCATGCATTATAGTTAATGACTGCATTGCAAATCCCTTTATCTTCTGACCAGCTGATGCCCCTCTGTGCCTTGACTGCTTTGCATCTCTGAATACGTGTGCGACTCTGTTCAGAGAAGCCACACAGTGCACAGACCAGAGCAGAACCTACCTCAAGCCACATTTTCTTTTTACTAAACACAAAGAACGTTTTCAGTTGTTACAGTCCTGCAGAGAACACATACCATTTTCCAAGAGCCAACGTGCCAGCACACCCAGAGAGCCTCCGCAGTGCAGCCGCACAGGTCGGTCAGCCATCGTGAACCAACAAATGAGCTCAAACTGGGATGCCATGCTTTTAGCTTTCAATAGAGATGAAGGGATGGAAATCTAGCAGAATAAAGAAGATGCCTTTTTTCTTAGTGTTTTACACAGAAGGTACCAAGGACTAAACCTGATGAACAAATTGAGGAGACAGCTTTTGAAGGTTTACTGAAGCCATGGTTTACTCAGTCTGGTTGATCAATCACAGAAAGCAGGATTTGCTTTGCAGCGCAGGGTAGAGGTACATCAAGCCAAATCACACAGTTACAGTTAACTTACAAGTGCAGCCACACAACCATATTTCAGCCTGGGGATCATCCCCCACATCTGCTTGAGGCCACCATTTTG